ACTACAAATCTACCTGGCTCTACTCCAACCCTGTGGCCTGGAGACTCCCTTAGGGAAGTGTCTGAGTGTGCATTCATCAAACGGCTGCTTTTGTTTATTTTCTTCCTCTCATTGGTCACTGCCTTTGTTGCCTGATGTCAAACAGCTTAAAATGTGTTTAAGAAGTTTCACTGTGAAAGAAACAAACAAACCCATCCAAAAGTGGGCAAAGGATATAAACAGACACTTTTCAAAAGAAGACATGTATGAAGCCAACAAACATATGAAAAAATACTCAGTGTGACTGGTCGTTAGAAAAATGCAAATGAAAACCACATTGAGATACCACCTCACACCAGTTAGAATGGCGATCCTTAAAAAATCTGGAGACCACAGATGCAGGATAGGATGTGGAGAAATAGGAACACTTTTACACAGTTGGCAGGAGTGTAAATGAGTTCAACCATTGTGGAAGACAGTGTGGTGATTCCTCAAGGATCTACAAATAGAAATTCCATTTGACCCAGAAATCCCATTACTGGGTATATACCCAAAAATTATAAATCATTCTATTATGAAGACACATGCACATGTATGTTTTTTGCAGCACTGTTTGCAATAGCAAAGACCTGGAACCAACCCAAATGCCCATCAACAATAGACTAGAAGATGAAAATGTGGCACATGTACACATTGGAACACTATGCAGCCATAAAAAATGATGAGTTCTTGTCCTTTATAGGACATGGATGAAACTGTCATTCTCAGCAAACTGACACAAGAACAGAAAATCAAACACCACATGTTCTCACTCATGGGGTGTTGAACAATGCGAACATGTGGACACAGAGAGGGCAGCATCACACACTGGGGTCTGTTTTTGGGGGCTAAGGGAGGCATAGTGGGAGGGAGGGATAATGTAGGGAGAAATGTCAGGTATAGGTGATGCGGGGATGGAGGCAGCAAACCACCTTGCCATGAATGTACCTATGCAACAATCCTGCATGATCTGCACATGTACCCCAGAATCTAAAGTACAATTTTTAAAAAAGACATTTCACTGTGGTTTCCAGCTATTTCTGGTGGAAAGATACATCTGGTCTCAGTTGTTACACCTTGTATGAAAGTGATCACCTTCAACACAGTTATTCAAACTAATGTTATGATGTCCACTGAGGTTTATCTTGCAATATTTACATATAGATAACCAACAGACACTTTTGTAGAAATGATACAGCTTATATATATTATACATACATGATATATAGCATATACTATATAGATAGTATTTGGCAAAATGGCCACATGGTTAGGGTGACCCACGGAGGCTCTGCCCCACGTGGGTCCCTGCTTTGGCTGGTTAGGGTTAGCGTGTCCATCCTCAAAGGGTTAGGTGCTGTTGATGTTTATGGCCTGCCACACCCTCTGCCTGTCTCTCAGTGTCCAGAATGCTGAAGCAGCTCCATAAAGGAGGGAAGATCTCAAATTTTCTTATGGAGGAGACAGAAATATATACATGATCTTTGGTAAAATTAGCTACAGACCAATATTCCTAATATTCATAAATATACCACCTGCCCAATAATAATCAACTATCTTCCACAAGACTTTAAAAGAATCACACACCATTACCAATTCAAATTTACTTTGAGATGCAGCAATAATTCAATGTCCTCAAATCAATAAATTTGGTATGCCAAATTAAGAGAATAAAAGGAAAAATTCCATTAACTTCTCACCAGACGCAAAAAATTACATTTTAAAATGCAAAGTTTCATGATAAAAACTCTTTACAAAGTAGTTATACAAGAAAATAACCTGTAAATAATAAAAGTCATTATGAAAAACCATAGCTATTAACCTACTTACTAGTGAAAGATTAAAATATTTTTTTCCAATATTTGTAACAAGGCAACAATAAACTTGGAGACATCTTACTCCTAAATTTCAAAATTAATTACAAAATTGAGTAATAAAAACAAGATGTTATTGGCATAAATACATGTAGAGAGGTCAGAAAGAAGCTGATATATTAATGGCAAATTAATTTCCAAGGTGAAAACCAAGAATATATAATGACTAAGTCATAGTCTCTCCCAAAGAGGGTATTAGAAAAGCTGGATTTACACATGGAGAGAATTAAGAATTTTGGGTTAGAATTAATACAAAAATCAATTCTAAATGAGTTAAAGTGTTAAACGTATGGCCTGCAATTGTAAAATTTTCTCTCCAGAAAAAAAAATAGAAATGATTTTCTACGTTTTACATTAAAAACACAGACAACAAAAGCAGAATTGAACAAGTGGGACAACCTCAGAATAGAAAGTTCCTGCAAAGCAAGGAAAAAATTCCAACCTACAGAAGGGAGAATATAGTTGCAAGCCATGCATCTGAAAAAGTGTGAACATCCAAGCTATACATGTACATTTTAAAACCTTGCTACCAAAATGATCATAGCCTAATTGTAAGATGTTCAGTTTTACACCTTACAAAATTGTAAGAACACAGATCTCATGTTAAAGTTCCTTCTCCCTGGGCAGGTATACATTTTAGGGTATATTTGGCTAGGCTATACTTTGCAGTTAGTCAATCCAACACTAACCTAGATGGTGTTGCAAATATACTTTATAAATGTTACTAAAAGTGTCATCAGCTGACTCTAGGTAGGAAGATTGTCATTGATAACCTGGGTGGGCCTGATTTCATCAGAGCAGAACTGGAGTAGGTGACATTCCATGGTGATTGTCACCGCAGCTCTCTCTGCGACGTCCAGCCTGCACGTACTGATGACCTGTCTCATGGACATTGTACGTCCCTTGCCATCCCCTCAAACTGTCATCCTCTATGTCTCACAGAAAAGTGGTGTGTCCATCAGTAGTTTGTCAAACCTGAAAAACAGGCAGAAAAAAAGACAAAAAAATAATATTTATTTGAGGATGGCCATCACAATGGGAACATGCATTCAGGGAAATGAAGACCAGGGCTTTGAAAGAAAAATGAGGAGGGTTACATGAACAGTTTGAGACAATTATCCTGGGATAGAAGGATGAACAACAAGGGTGATGTCAGTGTAAGGTTGGACAGGCAGTTGCTGGGCAGATGTACCTGGAGAAGAAATTAATTTATATTTTTTGTGGCCTTTGTGCAAGGTTGTGGTTTTGCAGTCTATTTATGAAAGTTCTTGTTATCAGGGATGAGTGTGAGAACCCTCCCTCATGGCCTTCTCCAGCTTCATTCACTGGTGGCTCCATTTTGATTCTGACAACATTGACACCCACTTCATAACACTACTGCTGAAGAAGGTGACTCAATGACAGTTTGCCCAGCACAGGATCAATTCCACATCCACATCTCATGTTGACCAAGTAAGCTTATCCCCTGCAGTTCCCATGGGCTGTATACATTCCCAGATGAGTCTAAACACAACACAGTGGAAGCTCCTGAGCAATGGGAGTGATGAAAGTCTCATCAGTCTCTCCCATGTGGCTGCAGGAGCCATAGCCTGAGACCCACCTGTGCTCTAGGAAAAGAGCTTCAGCTGTGGAATTTAGATCACAGAAGCCACATTTAATTTTTCAGGGAGCACAGAAGGCCAATGAAAAAGGAAGAACAACAACTAAAAAGAAAAAGGTAAAACATAGATGGCATGCAAAAGCATCATCAGATCAGTGCTGATTGCGATTGTCACACTGTAGTGTCAGGAGAAGGATCAGACGTGAAACCTGTGAGGTTCTACATGACACTGACCCTGGCCGGGGTTCTCTCTTTGCTCTAATCAGAATCCCTAAAGACTATTCTATTCAGGGAACCTTTCTGCAGTTCCCGTCCTGAGTCTGAATGGAGAAGTCTCACCAGGAACTCCTGAGCTTCCTCAGGACTCTGATCCTGGTGACCGTGGTTGAGGACTTTTCATGTCTGTAAGCATCACTCTGCATTTTGTGGATGCGAGAAAAGATTTTCATATTAAAATAATAATTTTAAAAATACGTAGAGATGACACTGGTAATCACAGAATTCTGAACTTAGGGGTCACTAGAGAAACTATAAGAGGAAGATGAAGTCCCACATCCTGACAGGAAGTCAGTCTCCCTGTGCACATGCCTCTGGGTTTGAGCGCCCCCTGCAGCTGATTCCCCCCCAGCATTCTTGCAGGGAGGTTTGTGGCTGGGCTCACACTGACTTCCCCTCACTGTGTTTCTTTCGCACAGTAATAGACAGCCGTGTCTTCAGCTCTCAGACTGTTCATTTGAAGATACAAGAAGTTCTTGCCATTGTCTCTGGAGATGGTGAATCTGCCCTTCACGGAGTCTCCATAGTATGTGCTACCACCAGCACTAATAGCTGAGACCCACTCCAGACCCTTCCCTGGAGCCTGGCGAACCCAATCCATGTCATAGCTACTGAGGGTGAATCCAGAGGCTGCGCAGGAGAGTCTCAGGGACCCCCCAGGCCGAACCAAGCCTCCCCCAGACTCTACCAGCTGCACCTGACACTGGACACCTGCAAACACAGAGACATCAAGGTCAGAAACTGTCACACATATCCGCTGTTTCTCTCACTCATGTCCACTCAGAATCAATATCTCTATTTTTCCATGAATCACCTTTTAAAATAGCAACAAGAAAAACCCAGGTCAGCCCAAACTCCATGGTGAGTCCTCTGTGTTCGGTGCTGATCACCGAATAGAAACACCTGGTAATCCCAAGGCTGGGGCTCCTCTTCCAGAGCTGCAGGGTCCAGGCTGGGCTGGTTTTCATCAGGAGAGGGAGGGCCCTATTTGCATGTCTGCTACTATATAGCAAGCTCTGGGGCTGGACGCCTGAGGAGAGGGCAGGGCCCAGAGCAGATGAGAGTGTCCTGGGGGATTTTGATGACAATGATTGTGTTTGGGAAAATGTGCTGTCTTATTGTGAAACCATTCTGTTATAAATATTTAACAACTATCGCATTTTTAATTATGTTTACCTATGTGTATAAATGGTGTTATTTAGAAGTCAGTGGTTTCTTCATTTACAGATGTAAAAGTGAACCCACACATGGAGGGGCTGTGTATGTGTCTAGGGGCTCATATCTGCCATGAGTGAGTCCCAGTATCCAGGACTATGCTCCTCACAGCTGGCCTCGATTGCTCTCTTAGCCAACACAGGACAGAGCAAAACAGGCCTAGCGTGGTTTGCAGAATCCACTTCTTGTCACAAGAACCTGTGTGATTTTGCTGCATTTCTCTAAAAATACTGAGACAACTAGGCTTCAGAAAGATAAATTTTTAGGTATATGTGACATTTAAAATGTTTATTCATTCCTTCCTATCATCCCTTTTTTGGTATAAAATTTCAGTTGTTTACGTGTAATGAATTTCATGAGTTTTGACAAATAATAAAATTCACATATTTACCTTGTACAATAGTAAACTTTGAAAAAAACCTGTTTTCAAGAAGGTGTTGAATCAATTCCCATCAGCATTCCTCTTGTTCTATTATATATATATTTTTTGTTTTTTCTCCATGTCTTCTACCATTATTTGTAAAATTACTGATATTTTCATATTTCTGTAGTTTTTATTTTCTAAAATTTATAGGAATGAAATAATATAGTATATACTATTATCTACTTGGATTATTTTTCTCAAGAGAAATGCTGAGAATTAAATCTTTTTGTTGTGTGTATTTAATGGGTAGCATTTCAGCAAACAAATGTAGTGTAATTTGATTTTTCTATTATGTTGCTAATTGATATTTGAAATTTGTATTACTTTGGGTCTTACTAATAAATCTGCTACTCAGCTTGGTAATTTATATAGATGGTAAATTATATGTGAATTATAGAAATACATTTCTTTTTACAACAACAATAACAGATAAACAAGAGAATGTGCTGTTTGGCAAATTTTCCTTAATATTTTAGATATTTGAAGTTATGAGCTAGAAAACAAATCTGTAAATGAAAGAGTACCTGAGACTAATCTGAATAGATTTGGGACCTTCATTTTTCCAGGATTAAGGAAATGCAGTGACACAGCCTCAGGGAGTCCTGATGATGTGGCCCAAGGTGTCTGACAGGACTTGGTTTATACAATTTAGGGAGACATGAGACATTAATGCATGTATGTAAGATGTACATTGGTTTGGTTTAGAAGCAGAACAACTCGAAATGGGGAGATAATTTCCAGGTCATAGGTAGGTAGGAGACAAATGGTTCATTCTTTTGAGTTTCTGATTAGCCTTTAACTGAATGCACAACTTACAGAAATAGTCAGGTAGGCCTTAGCCTGGCTTAGTCAAACAATACAGCAAAGGTAGCAATCAGATATGCATTTGACTTACATGAGCAGAGAGGTGACTCTGTCTGTCCCTGGTCATAAGGGTTTTCCTTGTGGTCAAATCTGAAGGAGATCTGCAGTTTTTAAAGATCTTAGCAGCTATCATTTTAGGGAAAGAATGAGAGGTGGATTTGCCCCAAACAGATTTCAGCTTGATTTTTCCCTTTGGCTTAGTGATTTTGGGGTCCCGAAGGTTTATTTTCCTTTCATGAACATGGAAATCTTGTGAAAATGAGTTCTTGTAGAGAGAAACAAAGACATGGCGGTAGCTAAACTGAGGCATATGAAATATCACCTGTTACAAGAAAAAGCTGCAAACATCTAATGGATTGCTTAAATTCCAAAGAGGTAAACGTGTTGTCATGTGAAATTCTCCATAACCACATACTGAAGGGCATGATAAAGTTAATTAACTATGGCCTGAGAAGAACTTCATGCTTCTACGTTTGAGTCCTTCTGGACAAACCGAATCCCTACTTGAATAGGGAGACAACATTGAAAACCTAACTTAGGAGTATGCACCTGTAACAATGGCTGAGTCCTGGCCAATTCCAGCAGACATACCTCAACCACGCATACACTCTTGAGTTTGCTAACTGTGTTTAAATAAGACAAATCACTTCTGATTTTTGTACATCATTTAAAAAAACCCATACATCTTCTTCCACCACATGGCTGCAATTAAGTCTTTTTTGAATCAGCTGTGATTCTGGGGGCTGTCCAATTCATGAATTATCAATAGTTCAATTAAACTGCTTTAAACATAATTTGGCTGATTGTTTTTCTTATCAGGATTCCTACCCAATTGAATCCCTTTGCTTTAGAATG